CAGACAACCTCTCGTCAATATGCGTTTTTCGCATTGCATTGCTGCAAAAAACGCATAAAAATGCAATCAGCTCAAAGAGGGTTTCGTGGACCTCGCTTCCCCTCATCATTCTGAACATGAGAAGAACCTCCACACCCCCTCGCCCCTTTCCCTCCCAGTGTCGGTCCCTTCGAGCTTTGCCCACTTCCTTTCCACCACTTGAACAAATTTTGTTACATCCTCTTAGCAAACAAAACATAAGTGGTGCTACACTGAAATTCACAAGAGTCCGCTTTCTTACACCACCATCACCACAGGTCCATCCCATAAATAAAGCGGAATTTCAAGAGAGCCGAACATACTGCTGCCCCCCCCCCTTCCAGCCCTCTTTTGCTGCCTCCTCTATCCCTCCGCCTACGTATCCCATTTTCTTCACTCAAAAAAAAAAAATTGAAATATAGTGCAATGCTGCTGTTGCTGCTGCTGCAAAAAAAATAAACAGTGAAAACATCATTAGGCGCTTCAAATTTTTTGCGAATTTTCAGGCAAAGAAAGAGAAAGACAAAAGTGTGGATGTACTAATATCACATGCATAAAGCCGTGCCATACCGCAATAAAATGATTTTTCGAGGAAATGAGTCAAAGTGGTGGAAATTTTTTACCACAACCTTCCCGTTTTAATGCTATTTTCTTCTCTCAAATTGTTCTCTCACGCTGTAACCTACCACGCTTTTGCCAGTTAGGCTTTCAGGGTCAACCCGGTTACTACAGCTGGCTTATCAGACAATGTTGCTTGTCTGAGGTCATAGGTCACAGGATACATTTCTTGTCAAAAACTGATATTAGACAACTGGCTTCTCATTTTTCGACGAATTCAGCTTACCGCAATATTTCAAACGTGTGACTTCGTTACTCCACCCCGCCTCTCCCCCTCGCCCCCCCCCCAAAATTATGCCATCCTCCTAAACTTAAAACTGCATATTATAAACCACCACAAAATGATATTTAGAAATTCATTTCAGGCCATTCTTCACGCACTCTATCATGAATTTCACAAAAATTTCGAGCACAGTTATTTCTTTTATTATTATCATATCACTGATTCTGGGCCTGTAGCTGCAAACAGGGATAAAAAAGATCAAATATATATTTGGTAGTGGAGAGTGCAATAGTTGCAGGCTCAAAAAGAGTTATATGCGTTACCTAAAAAATAGATATTTGCTAAAATTTTATCCCATGTTTACAACTGTGTGCACAAAAGTGGACAAATTTTAGCGATCTTCTAAATTTCATGACGTTCTAGCTGAATTATCTGGGGCAACACAAACGCATGCAGACAATATCCCATCATTATACGTTTTCGACATATATGCAAATCGCACAAAAAGTATTCCAAGCAGTTCCAGCAAAATATTTATAACGGCAAATGTTTTAAGCAGCAACAGAAGGTATTGAGGTGATATTCTATTTTCAAGTTCGAATTCTCGCTGGGAATGATGGCATGACACCTGAAAAATACTTTCAGACAAAAATACGCAACTAACCGGTTGACGGGGTTTTTTCGGTGAATTTGAATCCTTCACTTTTCTCTTCCTTTCCTTCTTTTCCGGATGTGTTTCACCAGCCAGCTCACGCTCACGCATTTCACGTTCACGTCGTTCTTTTCGCTCACGCTTCCGTTCTTTCCGCAACCTTCGTTCTTCGCTATCAACACTTGTACCCTCGCGTACCTCACGTTCCCTACGCTCTTTACGCTCCCTACGCCGCTGCTCCTTCTTTTCACGCCGCAACCGCCTCCTCTCCAGCTTTCGTTCCTGCTCCAGTTGTGCTTTGCTTTTTCGGCCTTTTTTTTTGATCAGTCCCAGTCGGAGATTTTCTTCATACCTCCTACGCTTTTGCTCTGCCTCCTCTTTCGCTTTCAAGGCGTTCAGCTCCTTTTGAAAGGCCTGAAATTTGCAAAATCAGCAAAAAATTTCGATTTCTACAGTAAAACCTAATTTTTACTGAAGAAACTTAGTGGACTTTTTGGTGCCTCGGTTGACAATTCCGTGAAGACGATTAAAAGAGCCAGCATTGACCCAATGGTCCATCAGTGAAGACAACTTAAATTCTAAAGATTGAAATGGAAAGCACAGGAACTATAAATCATATAACTGATAAGCATACGGAGAGGCAGTCCGTGTTTCATCCCTTAGCTGTAAACAGAGTATGCAATACAAACAGGCAAATATGCACTACAAGTTGTCCCCGCATGCGCTAATTTTATATCAGCTGAATATATTTAGCAATCGGTGTCGGTGTAATACATTTAAGGCAACCTGTAAAACTGTGAAAAACGGCGAACTACTACTGCATCCTGTAAATTTGATTTTACGGTCATTACTCGTAGTGAATATAAAGCGCTGTCGCAAGTTTTATGAAAGACTTTTGACAGTATGTGCGTGCGTATATGTTAACAAAAGGTGGCTCGGAAAGAGAGTGAAGGAGGAAGGACGTGAGGGGGGTGAAAAGATTTCCATCTACTATTACTACAACTAGAACGCGTAGCCGAGATGGCACACAGTAGAAGAGGGGGAAGAAGGGGGAGGAGGACGAATTTAGGTGAAGGCCAATATGTTTTATTTACAAAAGTCAACATACCACATCAGCACCTTCGAAATGTTTTAAAAAGAATTGTTTGAAAGATGCCGGAAAAAGGAATTCTGATAACAGCTTCGGCTCTGTTATTTCTATTACTAACTACCTGCCGAAAAAAATTTTCCAGAGCTCGGTATTCATTCATTTACAGCTAAGGGATGAAACACAGACTGCTTATGTACCACCTGCCTATTTCTATGAAATTCCATGGAACCGCTCTTCCCTCTTTCACCTTGGGACAATAGGAAATTTGAAGTGTTCAAGAAGGAAAGGGGAAATGATAAAGCAGAAGCCTATGAGTTCTAAAAATAACAAAAACTGATCCTTTTTTTTTTTTATCACTAGTCGTCCAGAGGCAACAGAAAGCAAACAAAACCAGAGAGAGGAATGAAAAGAAAGAAAAAAACTAAGAGAACCTGCAAATCGTCTGCATTTCTGAACATCAACAGAGAGAAATCATCGATGATTGATTCCTTCAGCACTGTTACCTTCTCCTTCACCACCAGCGTATTTACATAAGATTCGGAACATGAACATGATAACGAATCCTGGAAAAAAACAAGAATAAAAAAGAATCAAAACAATCGTTTTTTTGTATTCAAAAAATACACAGATTCTCTCGTTTATCTCTGCCTAAAAAAAACCATGCTTAAAATATTCATGTTTACAGCTAAGGGATGAAACACAGAATGCTTAGTCATACTGCTTATCTACAACATATCATGAAATGATTTTATATTTTATTACTTGACGAACCCGATTTGCTTTTCTTTATTTTGCTGATAGAAGCGGGAAAGAAAATGCTAGCAACACGACCACTGCGTGATTCTTCGCATAACAGATAATTTTTGGAGCATTTCCACATGATTACAGGAAAAAATGCAACGTCGTTGAAAGCGTTTAATCAAACCGTCGTTGAACACAAATAAAATTAAACTCATTAACACAGTACATATTAGGATAAGCAATAAGCTCGAATAACAAGTATGAGCGAATGGAACTCACTAGAAAGTCAGAAATCCGCCCTCCCTTCTCTTCCCCACCCCTTTCCGCCCCGTCCTATTTTGGGTGGTCTTCGAAAAAATCAGTGCGTATGTTTTTTGAAGTGCGATAACATTTTAGAAGCAACGAGCACAAGATCGGATAGTTTGAAGAACTATGTGCACGACAATCAAACAGCACTGACAGCTGCCAGTCGTGGATCATCGAGCAGTGGATTTTTTCCAGACCAAAACAAAGACAAAATTTGTTTGGAACGCTGTGAACTGGATCGAGATTGCTTTTTTTCTTAAGGGGATAATAGTAGACGAAGAATGGGTCAAGGTTAAATGAGTGCAAGTAATAAATGGGAAGGGTCTATTGTACAAAAAATTTATAATCCTATTATATAGTACAACAAAGAGGGAGAGGAATAAGCAATTTTAAGATAAAAATATTTTTAGTGTGATGTTGACCTCGTTCAGAAAGCCTATTTTTCTAAACTGTATAAATGTTCTTTTCAAAAAAGCCCAAAAAGCATTCCAGGCGAGTGCTGAAACTGATGTCAGAGAACACACACACCTGGAATAATGTTTTTTGGTTCTAAAACAATTTGTTCAAAGAAAAAAAAAAGTAAACTCAATAGGCTGAGAAAAAAATTACTTTTTTTTTTCTTGCTTAGCACATTTTATTCTAACAAAGAGCGATGAATTCTTAGAAATACACGAAGTGCTTTGTTTCGTTTTGAACTTCCTTCGAATCTATCTCTTCCAGATTCGATGGGAAATTGGAATGGTAAATTGGTGCTGGCATATGCAAGAAAGTCAAACATGCTAATCAGCTTGTTCAACAAGCACACTCGAAAGAGAGAGCCATCGATAGCCTTGCAAATGCGTGGTCATTTTGCTATCCTTGGGCTACTTCACGAATGCTTCCGCCCCTCTCTCGCAGAACAAAAATTAATGGGGTTAACTCTTTTGGCGTTCGGTACCATCTAAACAAAATGCCCAACTTACTTTCCCTCTTGGGTGGTGGCGGTCAAAGAAAGTGGTAAGAACTGTTAGCATGGGAAGGGCCATAAGTGGTAAAGGGGGGACGTCATATGCGTCTAGCGTTTCATATCGAAAAGCAGAATGGAAGATGAGAAACGGAGGTCAATTATCTGCAGCAAGCTTCGTTCGTAGATGGATCCAGGACGGACTTCTCGGCAAGGAGGAGGAGAAGGCGGCGGACAGTGCGGAAAAAAGTGTTTTCTTTAGTTTTCGCTTTAGACCCAGTTTTTTGTAGCACTGTTGCCTGTGCCGATCGGAGGGTAAGTTCAACATTTCACGATGTAAATTCGGTAGCAGAAAACTACGAAAAAATTTATCAGTTAATGAACTGATGAAATCTCTTAACAGCATTTCAGGCGGTCTTGATATTCTTGGTTGTTGGTGCACTGATGGACGGTGTGTAATAAAGGTGCTCCTGTGATCAAATGACAGCAGCTGAACAAAGTTTCCTCCCAAATAAACACATTAATTCTTGAGAAACATTTTCCGAGCTGCACATTTTTTTGCACAGTTGGCAGCGTCACTGAACGAAGAAACTTTAATTTTTCATCCTTTTCTTGGTAAAAAAAACAAAAAAAAAAAAAAA